AACCTAAAACCGACCTTTTTTTGCAAACGGATGAGAAAATACAACCCGGTCCTGACCCGTCGGGTTGTCGGGTTGACATGGCCCGACCTGACCTGAATGGTGCCTCCAAAGCTTGGTTTATTAATCATAGAGGAGAGATCACTTAGATATAGTTTTTCATCTTCCCCTGGATGCAATCAAGAAGAGAAAGGATGCATGGTTCCAAAATTCAAATTGCACGTAAAATGACGCATGTTTAAATCTTGAGAAATCTCAAAATTCTTATGATAAGCACCTATAATGCACCGACACTTCTCCTCAAATAGCCATGCAGTGTCTGACACCGTATCCGACACGACATGCATCCCACACACCTCTAACCTGTGTTGGACACGTCGAAAATGTGTCTTATTAAAACAAAGTTAAATATAAATTGGACACACATGTCATAAATATTTTATAATTTGTTTAAAATATAATTTCTTGTATTTAAAGTTTTTATTTATTTAAAATATAAACATACATTTCTTATTTTCTATCCATAACACCAACTCAATCGCCCGCACTCAATATCTCATTCATCAAATATTCTCATTTTCATTTCTTTTTTGCGGCTCGCAACTTTGCTTCATAACAATGCCTGATGTCATTTCAAAATTGATGTCTGACGTCGTTACAATATCGACATTTTAAAACCATCTCAACATCAAAATCTAACATTGTTTTGACATTGATGCTCTATGCTAGCAATTTCTACACCCATAACATGACAGCTCATTTTTGTTCGACGTTGTCTTATCATAGATGACCGATGCCCTCTTGACATCGACACCTGATACTTACTACATAACATCGATGCCCAACTCGATATCATTATCGTCTCCTCTCTCGATGTCTGATACACGATATCGACGTCTGATTCTCGACATCCTAATATTAATCATTTTAAGCATAAATTTTAGTTAAATGACTTATTATTTCTCAATTATTTTAATATTATACTTATTCAATTTTTATATACTATTTTTAAAATATAAAATTATAATACCGCGTACAACCCGTGTCCGTATCCTATATTTTAATGATTGGCGTATCCCGTGTCACATTTGTATCGTCGTGTCCGTCTCTATGCATCATAGATAAGCACAAACAATGAGAGAGATGGGGCACCAATCCTCCTTCCAAGTCATAATTTCACTTAATAAGATAGAATCACAGCCCTTCAATTCAAATAAGAATATTTGGGTATTCTTCAAAACACCTAGTCAAATATTTAACAGCATAAAATAAGCAAGCATTTTAATCCAATAAGGTTTAACCACCGTGATCTTTAGATTGCTTGTGGTTGAGTTCACAAAAGGCGACAGCAAAAAAAGAAGAGAGCTTGCCTGGCAAATTTATTGAAACCAGATTAACCTTGTTCCAACAATTTGGGGTTCTTTTTTGAATCCACCAATCAATGTTATCAAAGACTATATGAGACATTAACTCTAACTTTGCACAATTAATTTTGTAAAATTTCATGTTATCTTTAATCAACCCAAATTTCCATCTTATTCGTTTACATTAAGGGCCCATTTGAGATAACTTTTCACGGCTTTGTTTTGAAGAAAACTATCAAAATTATGTTTTGCAACAACTTTCATTCCACTATTAAAAAAAATTTCGTGTAGGTAAGGAAGTAGCTTTTTACAATCACATCTTCTTGAATGTGATAGTTGTAACAAAATGGTTATCTAAGTTTTTTAAATAAGAAAAAGTCTATATTACCCACAACTTAAAAAAAAACCAATTTTATTGATAATAATTCTACAACACCTTTCACTGACAACTATAACTGTCCTAAATGAACACTACAAGTGCATTTGTGATAGCTTCAGGCTATAGTATAACAAAGAGAAGTTGGTCATCTAATCCTATGCTTTCTGTAATCCGAGAGAATGTGCTCTCATCACGTCTTGCTCCATCAACTTCTGCGGATTTTTTTTCTTCATGTTACATTCCTTTTTTTTTTTTCTTGCATTAAAAAAACAACCTACTTCTCACGACAATATTTTTCATGTATGCTTTCACATGAAGATGTGTTCTTTAAATGACAAAATTGATCTTATTGCAGACTTTTCACCTATTTAACATACTGAAATTAGCTTTTGGTGATTAATTTGGTGTTTAACCGTTCACATGAAAATGTTCAATGTTGAAAAAATGCAGAGTTTTATACTAATAAGTCTATCATTATACTACAACAACAACAAGCCTTTATCCCACTATGTGGGGTAGGCTATATGAATCCTTTTTCTCCATTGTGTCATGTTAAAAGTCAAATTCTCATCTAAATCTAATAAAGAAATGTCATATCTAATATTTTCTAACCAAGTTTTTTAGGTCTACCTTTATCTTTCTTAACATAAGTCAAATCTAATACATTTACTTTCCTAACCGGGTCATCGGAAGGCCACCATTTTATATGACTAAACAATCTAAGGCGACTCTCTCTAATCTTATCTTCCACTAGAGCTACTCCAACCTTTTCACTAATAAATATATAATTATAATTTTATATAATTTAAATAAAATATTTGTTTAAAGTAGTAAGAGAGCTTGGATTATAAGGAATGTTCTATTTTTAGCATATATTTAAAAAAAAAACAATTTGATGATTATTAATTTATTCATAAGAATAATAACAAGAATAAGGGCATTTAGGTCATTTGATCATATACAACAATCTAGCTACGCAGAAAAAAAAAATACTTTCTTATCAATAAACAGGACCATGAAAGATTGATTTTTCAAGCAACAGTCTACAGCAGATTTACAACCAATTTACAAAAAAAAAAAATTCCTCACAAACAAAGTTTACTGGTCCATCTACCCGCCTAATTGAAGCATTTTATGCCTTCTATTTCACATTCTCAAACCCTTCATTTCTATTTCTACTACTTATCTTCAACGTGTCATTCACATAATTTTAGACGTGCTAGGAATTTAGAGAAAAGAAGATGCTCGGATAAAATAAGAAGAGATGAGTTGAAGTCAAAGGCATAGGATGATGGGAAGGTGAAAGGTTATACAGAAAATCACTCAAATTTTAAAGAAATGTCCTAGCTACAAAGAATGGAAAGTGCCAAGTCTCAACAAATATAAATGGAGAAGGGTCACCAAATCAACCAAAAAGGATGAGATAAGCACACTGATGAGTTTGGATAAGAACAATTACGAGGATGACCAGGTACCTTTCTGTAAATAGGAAGTATTCTTTACTAATTAAAGAAGCTACACCAAACAGCTAGGATAAGGGCCATAAGGCTAATGATTATGAATATGCTTATAGTTTATACTCTCTTTAAATCGTACCAGCATGAGAGGAAAAAGAATATGCTCAATAGGCATCCTTTCACTACACTGTATCTTAGCTAACATTTACCTTTTTCTTAATGAGTTATCCATTTATCCTATACAATGAGAACATTTCATTTGTTTTGACATTTAAGCCACAGAGAAGACGAGTTAGGATTGAATTTTCTTCAAGTTTTGACATTTAGGCCGCAGAGAATAGAAAGTTTTGTCGTTAACAGGCAAAGAGATAGTGATGTAGGACTATGCAAGGATGCAATATTTTGTTAGGAATTTGCACAACTCTTAAGTAGAAAACAACATTATACCAAAATAGTAGTTTCAAATAAAATCCCTAGTCTAACAGTGAAATTAGTAAGCACATGAATACACTCAAAACCCTACGTTTACTAAGCTTAGCAGGAGCAATGGAGAATCCTCCTTCGTGACTATAATCAAACATAAGATAAGGTTAGATTTAGGAAATATGTTGAAAGGGGAAAGTAGAATCTTTTGTCATGAAGTGGTGGAGATCCTTCACTCAACGTCTTTAAACTGCTCTTCGATTGCTTCTACCAAAGTATCTAGAATGCGCTCGATGTAATCCTCGACGGTGTGATCGACCCTTGTATTAACGTCAAAGAATGTGGATTGGATAATGTCTATGAAACCGTCTTCGTCGCAGGTGAGGCCTTATTCAGTCTCCGGATCCGCCATTCATAGATACTCGGTAGCAAAACTCCTCACAACTTGATGGTGCACTTGAATATTGTCGGAGAGAAAGAAGTTCTCTTATCACTTGAAGGAGGGAAGATCCATGCACGAAAATTTGAAATAAGTTTCATATTTTGTAAAGAGGGGAGAGGGATTTAGGATAGAAATTATCAAATCCTAAATTCCGGGAGAGAGTTAATGATGGAGAGATGGATTGGAAAGAGGGGCGGGTAAGAGAGAGGGGTCGGCAGCTGTAGTAGAGGATTGGAAAGACGGCCGGGTAAGAGAGAGGGGGGGCAGCTTGGCTATGCTTGCCGCCGGGTTTGTGTGATGTGGGTGGGAACGGGTGAGCAAAGGATGGGGGGGTTTTGGGTTGTAGGGAGGAAGTTTAAGTGGTGGAAGTAGAGGGGTTAGGGGTGGCCGGCGGCTAAGGGTGGAGGAAGGGGTCAAAGGGGAAGCCAAACAAAGTAAAGAACCACGAACCCGGCCGTCTCCAAGATTGGTGGGTGATGCGCGAATCTCCCTCTCCAAGGGATCTCTCTCCGAACTCTCAAACTCTCTCAAGAACTCCAAGAAAGAAGACAAAATTCTCAAATAATCATTCATTACCTCAAAAATAAAACATGGGGTTATAAATAGCCTAGTACATGAGACTCACGAAATAAAAGACGAAAATGCCCTCCGGGCTTACATACGACATCACTCACTAAAAGGGTACAACCGAAAAACAAATACACGATACTAAAAATAAGAGAATACATAAGTAAGAAAATAACGTAAATAAAAAATACAATGACTCGATCGTGGCCGTAGATCGGCGGCCATGCCTCTGATAAACCTTCCAATATCTGATGTCTCCATCAGATAGTTAACTCAGTTGTTCAATGATTAAAAAGAGAATTATGCGTGAAGTTTTGTATATGTATATGTATATATATATATATTTAATTTATTGACAACTGTCTTAATACCTTAAGAAAGACTTCTCCCAGCCAGAAAATTGCTGCATTTTGGACCAGATGTCAATCACTGGTATGTTAGACTCTGAAGCAACAGCTATGCATGCTTTTGCATAAGCACCAGCACTGTCATTGGTCCTCTCAGGCAAACCGGATGCGTCGTCCCCAAAAGGATTCCTGCATTTAATAGATTGCAATAAATGCTACATTACAAAGCAGGACAGTATATTTATTCTTTCAGGATTGTTTTATTTGTGTATTAGACATGAAGTATAAAATAATTAAACAAGAATGGGACCTTAGCAGTTCCTCAAAATTTAGCTTACTTATGCAAATAATGAAGAATGTTAACAATTCCATATTTTACCTCAAAGCTAGCATTTCAGAGGATACTTCTCTAGGTCACACTTTCAAAAAAATAAAGTGGAGTAAAGCATCTAGAATACCAATTGCTAAACCACTTAGTATTCAGCTCGAAAGCAAACTTAGACATAGATTTTAATGGGTGCTATGAATATAAGAGGCCAAACAAGCTAAATTTTGGCCCGGTACTAGTTCTATCCCCTGACCATGGTCTAATTCAAACATGTACAAGCACAAAAAATCAGTTTGTTTCGCTGTCTTGTTAGAATCTTGGATGCGTCTTGGACGTACAGTGGCATTTACCATTTAAATTTACAGGAAATATCTCCACCAAGCAGAGTATATTAAAATAGCAAAGGAGTATCTTTAGAAACACAACCAAATAATAAAAATGCCCAAGCTACCTAAATATTTCCAAACATTTCCAGATTTTCAGTTCCACTTGTGCATAATTTCAATGATTTAGAAAACAATACTATGTCAGAAACATGACGCTTTAGTAACATTAACCAAATTGCTCTTGCATTGCAGAGTAGAAAAAAGAATCCTCAGCAGCTCATGTACTTCCAGACCTACATAGGGATAACAGAAAAACATAAATTGGTTTCAAAGGAATGAAATTCATAACTCGTTGCTGCTTCCATCATGCGTGGAACAAAGACCACGTAGAAGCTTATTGCTATCTTCACTTGCAAGATTTTTTGAAGACGCTATCTTCTTCTAGTCCTATGCCTTGATGTTCCATGCTCAATCATGGTTACATTTTTTCTCATTTTTGTTGATATATATTTTTGCATTGATGCCTAAATCAGCTCTGATCGAGCTGATTCGAGCTCGACTGGGCTCGATCGACCGAGCATCGTCGAAGCAAAATTAAACTCAAACTAGACCTAAATTTCATCAAATTAAGTTCAATTTAATTAAATTAAACTTAAATTGATCTAGTCAACCCAAAATCGATCCAAATAGAACCCAGTCGAGCCTCATCAAGTCTAATTCGATGCCAATTCAGTCTAATTTTGTGAACTTGACTCGATTGGACTCAATCAGACCCGAATCGACCCAAATAGATTCGGATCGAGTCTGATTTAAGCTCATTCAGTCAAATTTGGGCTAATTTGGCTTACTAAATAAAAAATCTTGCTTTGTTTTCCATCAAATTCCGTAGAAGATTGTATCGAGTGGGATATTTCTCGTTTCACTATAGAGAGAGCAAGATAGGGGGGGGGGGGCGAATCCATTCGTTTTATTGAAGGATGATAGTGGGGGGGGGGGGGGCGAATCCATTTGTTTTATTGCTTCTCGTGTGTCCCTAAACAAGCGAGAGATAGAGGGAGCGGGAGGCAAGGAGCATTGATTTGGATTCCTGTGTCCATCTCGAGCAAAAACAAGAGAGGGAGAGGCGAGGGCATCATGCGTGAGGGATGTGGAACCAGAGATGAAGCTCTTGCTTGTGTGCGACATCCTGTGTGTGTCCATCCCAAGAAGAATAGAGAGGGATAGAGAGAGAAAGAGGTGGAGCTCCTGTGTGCATGCGTCCGACCCCGTCCAGTACAAAGACCCCAACTAGGTCTCGATCTGGGCATCGCCAACCACCGAACCCTCTCGGCCGCCAATCCTCATGGCTACTCCTATGATCCGAGGAGGAGCCCTCCTCGTTTGCTACCAATCTTCTCTTCCTCTTGAAAAATATGGAACAAAGAGCTACTGTTGTTCCCTTCTATTGCTGCTAAGAAGAAGTAGAAGGCCTCATCTCTCTCTCAAATCATCTACGGCGAGTTTGTAACAACGGAGGCGACATTCGGGAGCATCCAAACAGCAGCGAAAACTTCTGGAAGATCTTGGACAGCGTCTTTCTTCTTCAATCTCACCTTTTACCAGGCGAGTGGAGTGTAGTTGGTGTCGTGACAACCCGACGAGGTAAAATCCTTTGAAACTTAGTGAAAACTAGGTCCCTAAGCCCGTTGATGTGTGGTTGACGCTCCAAATGCGCGTCCCTAGAAAACCTTGCTTTTAACTTCCAAACCCAAAGAAATCCCTTGTATTTCGTTGTCCATTTGTTTAAGTCATGGAAATCAAGTGATTTCTCATTATTTTCTCTCATGTGAGAGCCCAAAAGGGATGGTAGCGATGCACCGCATCATTGGGCTGGTGTCTAATGTACTCTAGAATGGAGCAGCGATCGAGAGGCTGTCGCGGGATTTTGGCAGAAATCTCGGAACGGCGCTGCTGTACAGTGTCTCGGCGAGACTTCGGCAGGATTCACGGGATTTCAGTCCGAGGTTTGCGGGATATCCGTAATTTTGGGCAGCCGCTCGATGGATACAAGGTATGCAGATTTTTGATCTTTTGATTATTACATAGAGGTCAACAATCTAGCACCTACAACTAAACCCTAAGTTTAGGAGATTTCATTTAATGATAAATTAAATGTTGAGGTGTAGACTTTCACAATGTCGCATGCTATATTCTATCTCTTAGATTGATGTGTTATAACAAAATTAACACACAAATGTAGGAACTTGCATTAATCAAGAACTTGGGGATGTTTCCAAAAGCTTTGTTTGGATATGTGAAATGTGCTCAATACTGCTTGAAATAATATATTGGTGATTTTTTATAGGATTTTACATGAATCCCCAAAGATTTATTTTGTATATCCTAGAACAAGTTGTAAAGCTTATGGAAAGATTAACCAGCGACTAAACGCTCCACGTAAAATCACTAAAATTTGAGATGTTTGTTTGTGCTTCTAATGCATAAACATAGAAGAAAGTTCCCAAGCTACAACTCAATTGATTGCATGCACCTCTCTTTTAAAGCATAGATCATGACAAAAGTGATTTATAAATACAAAGAGCATGTATGTGTTGAAGCTTGTAAACTTTTACGAAATTTTGCAAATGTTTGGGGGTGAATTTAATCAATTTGGAATACACCTTATTTTGTGAGATTTCTCATTAAACCTGTAAGATCTATGTTGAAAATCCCACATAGAGGGCATAATTGATTAAGTTCATCTACAATATCTTGGATTATTGCATGTCTGAAGATTTACAAAATCACTAATATATTTATCAAATCTGCAAATGCTTGTAAAGCATGTTTGGAGTACTTTGACTTTCAAAAGATCATAGATAGTATCCCGTTACATATTGAGATTGGTAAACATATTTAATGCAATTTGCAAGTTGGCCGATTAAGTGTAATGACAAACAATTGAAGCATTTGAATATCTCCAAAAGAATAATGAACCTAATCATGCGTACTACTAGGTTTCTTCTAGATCATATCAATATCGATCTTTAAGATATTCTTAGAAGCCTTCAATCATCCAATCATGTCAAAATTGATTGGAACATTTTCTAAAGCCTCAAATGTGTTTTCATACCTTAATATGAGTCAAAATCACATTTCCTTGATCTCTTACTAGGATCACTAAGCCTCCAGATTTCATAATCAAAACAAAATTGGTTTAGAAATCTCTCCAAAGCATTAGGAAACCAACCTTCCCTCTCCAAATTGAGTCCAAAACACTCTAAAAGACATAGGGAAATTTCTTCCGAGTGCACATCTCCTTAATGTGTAATATTTTGGAGCATCCCCAAAGCTCCAAATGTTCAATTATATGATTCATCAAGATTTTAGGAACAAATCCTAAGTCTTCCTTTCATTTGCTAAGAACACAAAATTAGCAAATAAATATGTCTCCCCCCTCGTGAATAATGATTTGAGTTCCCTCAAACCTTCAAACATATCATTGCATGAGTTCTTCAACCTTAGGGCCAAGTCTTAAGTTTACTCTTTCATTTGTTAAGACATAAAATTAGCAAATGAACAATCCTCTATGCATGATGCTTGGAGTTTTCTCAAAACTCCATATGTTAGATTGTATGAACTATGGCATGCATTAGCAGCTCTCTAATGTATCCTCCTTTCCATGCATAACGGTTTGGAACACGTCAATGCTCCAAACATTTCATTAAATGGACCATATAACCGTAGGAACAAATCTTAGGTTGATGATTTGTTTGCTGATGCACCACAATCAACAAACAATAATCTCTCCTTCCTCAAGCATTGTATGTGGAACCTCCTCAAAGTTTCAAATGTTATATTACATAAGTCATAGGATCTTAGAACCAAATTTTAAGCCATCTATCCCTTGTTTGTTGAGACAAATCAATAAACAATCATCTATCCCTCCTTCATGCATGACTTTTAAAGTTTTCTAAAGGCTCCAAATATTCCATTTCCTGACTCCTAAAATGCCTTATGAGCTATCACCAACCATCTTAATGCTTTGTATTGTGGATTTCACTAAAATCCAAAATACATCATGGTACAAACGCTTGAACTTGAGACCAAATGTTGAGTTCCTCCCTCTCATTTGTCTAGCCAAAAATTAGGCAAATTAATACTTTTGCTTGAACACCAAATATTCAAAGGATTTCACCCAACTTGTAACCCATGAGTTGCATTTTGTTTCTCCTCTTCTACAAATCAAAAGTTGTAGGAGAACCTTTCTTTCACCCAATCCAAGCTAGGTGGATGAGCACCTCTTTCCTAGAACACTTAAAAGTTCAAGGAGATCTTTTTTAATTTGCAACTCCTAAGTTGTACTTCCTCTCTCTCTCATCCCTCCAAGCCAAGTTGGAGGAATGAACTTTCCCTCTTTGAACACCAAATGTTCAAAGGAACTTCTTCAACTTGTAGTCTACAAGTTGCACACTTCTTTCATTCTTCTATGACTAAAAGTTTTAGGAGATTATTGCATTTACTTAACCCATGTTAAGTAAATTAAAACTATGTTA